CCCCCGGTGCAGCCCCGCCCCGCCCCCCAACCGGCCCCTGCCCCCTGGCCAGTCGGGGCCCCCCAGGGCAGCACCCTGCACCCCAGTTCAGCCCAGTGCACCCCAGCCCGGCCCAGGGGCCCTCTGCATCCTCCCCACCCTGAGCTGCTCCTGTCCCCCTCCCCAGCTCAAATACCACCCCCTCGAGCACCCCACCCGCTCGTGCTGCAGGACCAGGCTCAAGGATGCACCTGGGTCTGCACAAGGACTTTTATTTTAAAAAACAAACAAACGAACAAACAGAACAACCGTCAAGTGGAATGGGTGGCAGGGAAGGGGTGGAGGGGGCTGGTCCCACCCTGGCGAGGCCAGTGAGCCACAGAGCATCACCAGCGCCCACACAGCGATGACAGCACTGGGAGGGGGGTCAAGGCAGCAGGGGACCAAGCGAGGGCGGGGGACAAGTCAATGCTGGGGTCAGGCACTCCCTAGCCCAGCACCCAAGTAGGCACAGGGGGAATATGGCCCGTGAGGTGCAAGGAGGGGGCAGCAAGGGGGGGGAGGCAAGCAGGAGCCGACCCCACACCCAGGGGCAGAAGCTGGCTCCCAGCTGGGGCAGAGCTGGGGGAGCAGAGGCCAGTGCAGCACCGGGCAGGCCACTGACCCAGCAGGCAGGGCTACCAACCCTCACCACTCCTGGCCAGGCGAGGGGCAGCCCTGGCTGGCAGCAGGAGCAGGCAGGGAGCACTGTACAGACTGCAGCTGGGACCCTGCCTGGGGAACAGGCAGGGCTGGGGGCTGACCTGCCCCCCCCAGGGGGAGGGAAGAGCTGATAGAGGCAGCAGGAGCTGGGGGGGGTGTGGGGGCAGAGCACCCCCTCACAGCAGAACCCTAGACCACGCGCAGCATCATTGCCCGCAGCCCAGGGCGGGCAGGGTTGAACCCTGCTGTACATTCAACAAGAGGGGCAGGAGCTGCCTGTGCGTGGACGGAAGCAGAAAACCAAAGCACTTTTGTGTGCCTCTGCCCTGTCGCAGAGAGCCAGGGCAGAAGGCACGACCCTGGGGAGGAGGGAAGCGTGGGTGTGGGACTGGGGAGGGGGGTCCCAGCCCCCCAGGGAGAGGCAGGAACTCAGCACTGCTGCTGTCCCTGCCCCCGGCAGATCCCGATGAGGCGGCTCCAGCCCTGCTGCTCACACACCCCCAGGCGAGGCAGCCACCAGCTCAGGATAAAAGCACCAGGCACCCCCTACACCACCTTGCTGGCCCCCCCAAGGGAAGGCCCAGCTTCCCCAGGCTGCTCAGCACCAACAAACCCTCCAGTAACCCCTGCCCACGGAGCGGGGCTGGGGCCCACAGGCAGCCCTGTCCCTCTCATGGGGGGGCCAGTGGCCAAGGCGGGTCGAGGCCAGCTCCCCTACTTGTCGATGAGCCCCCCCTCCTTGAGCTTGAAGTAGAAGAACTTCTCCAGGGTGTTGGCACACTTGCAGTAGTCACTGTCAGGCGGGTTGTACTCGCGGCAGTTGGTGATGATGCGCTGCAGGTCGGCAATGAACAGCTTCTTGGTGACGTAGTACCGGTTCTTCAGGCGCTCGGTCATGGTCTTCAGGTCTGGGGGTGGGGAAGGGTCAGGTTCCCCAGGCCTCTGTGCCCCCCCAGCCACAGAGCTGGACACCAACTGAGGGTCCTGACTCACCCCTCTCTCTTCTAGACTGTCCTGGGGCTCTCAGCACCCCATGACTCCCTAGCCCAGACTCCACGACAGGGGGTCTTCAGCCCTCCCTCCACCATTCTGCACTGGGGTTCCAGGCACAACCACCTACCGATGGGGAAGCGGATGATTTCATAGTAGTCTGGCGCCTCCGACTTCTTCACTGGCTCCATGAAAGGCCACGCGCTGGGGTGGGTCTGGGGAGAGGGCAGGGGGCAGGTTACAACAGCGAGTACACGCAGCCCCTGCATGCCGCAGCACAGGGGGGTCCCGCTCCCCGTGTGCCTGGGTCACCCCACCTGCCCCCCAAGGGCAGAGCCCAGGACAGCCTATCCCGGGGGAAGCAGCTCCGAGGGCTGTCGGGGATACAGGTACCCCGGAGCGCAGGATCCCCTCCTGCCGCACCTTGATCTGGGCCAGGAGGTTCTTCAGGGTGTTGTAGAGCTGGTCCGGATCCTTCAGCTCTTTTCTGCAGGACAAAACCAGCGCCCATCAGCCCGAGGGCGGGCAGCCTCTCTCCATCCCGGCACTCCCACCTCCCCAACCCAGCACCAGGCCACGGCCGGGGTGGCACCGGGGCAGTGCCAGGAGCGAGGAGCAGCCCAAGCCGAGCCCCCGCAGCCCGGCTGCTGCAGGACACCCACTCCCTCTGCACAGCACTCACCCCTTCTCCTTCCCCAGTGGTTTCCATCCCGTTTCTCCTGGAAGACAAGGGTCAACATCACCATGTCTGCCCCACACCAGCAGGCAAGGGAGGATAGAGCCCTCCTGCCAGACAGCCCCTCCCCACCAGAAGCTGGCCAGACTCACGGATGCCGGGGACGCTCTCGATGGGGATCTGCCGCACACCCTCCTTGAAGCAGGTCAGGCCAGGGTAGACCTTGCGGATCTGCGCCTGCTTCCTCTCAATCAGCTTCTTGATGATCTGCAGCAGGAAGGGGAGGTTGGAAGCGGGGAGGTGAGCAGGGACTGCAGGATGCTCCAGGGAGCCAAACCATGACGTGGGACCCCATGGGCCCAGAGCACCGGCTGCGCCCGCTGCCCAGGGCTGGAGCCAAGCCCAGCCACCGTAAACACCACCGCAGTGTCCCTCCCCTCTCGACCCTGCTCCCAGGGGAGATTCAAGGGCCGGTTCCCAAGGGCCGGCACATCCCCACCCCTCTCCCCTGCCTTTGGGAGGCAGCTGGCAGGGGCCTGAGCAGGCAGATCCTGGCAGCACCCGCCTGCCCGCAGGACGTACCTCCTTCTGCTTCTTGATGATGTGGGAGAGCTCGGTGTAGGGGATGCGGGGGTTCAGCTCACACTCCATCAGGGTTGCCCCCTCGTAGTCCTTGATGTAGCCCAGGTAGCGGCTCTTGGGGACCTTGATGTCCTTGGAAAAGCCCTAGGAGGGAAAGGGCAGGTGGGAGGGGGCTGGCGGGCAGGAGGGCTGAGGGGAACCACCCCGGGGGAAGCAGCCCACCTGCTTCTTGAAGTAGCCGATGGCATACTCGTCCGCATAGGTGAGGAAGTAGAGGATGTTGTGCTTGATGTGGTACTCCTTCAGGTGGTTCATCAGGTGTGTCCCATAGCCCTGGGGGAGCCGCCGTGAGACAGGGACCCCCCGTACCCCCCCAGGCAGCCCAAGTCAGATGGGACACATGGCCCCCTCCCACCCACGGACACGGGCAGCTGGAAGACGTTCCTGAGCAATCGCTGCCACTCAGGGCTGGCCAGTGCTGAGCGGGTCTGGCTACCCCAGGGGCTGGGACACCCCCAGGCTCTACCAGCTACAGCAAGACCATCCTTCCCCCCACAGCCCCCACCCACTGCCCCACTCCTCCCCACCCTGCAGCCACTGCACTGCGCTGCCAGGGACCCCCGTGCCGTGCCCACCACCCACCTCCCCACTCTCACCTTCACTTGCTCGTTGGATGTGACAGCGCAGAAGACGATCTCCGTGAAGCCCTGGGTGGGGAACATGCGGAAGCAGATCCCCCCGATCACTCGGCCGTCCTTGATCAGTGCCAGGGTCTTGTGCTTCCTGCGGGCAGCGAGGCTGAGGGTGAGACGGGAGTACCCTGTACCAGCCCCCCCTGCACTCCCCAAGCCACGCACGGGTCAAAGACGAGGCGGGTGATGTACTCCTTGGGCATGCGGGGCAGCTGGTGCGAGAAGACATTCTGCAAGCCCACCAGCCACATCAGGATCTTCTTGTTGGACTTCTGCGAGAGCGAGTTGCCGATGACGTGGAACTCGATGATGCCGCGGCGCTCCTCCAGCCGGGCCGTCTCGTCCCGTGCCGCATTTGCCGACAGCAGGCTGGTCTGGGGGGGCACAGGGGCTTTCACTGGCCACGGCACACTCTCCGCAGGGGGAGACCAGCCAGGCCCTGGCACACCAGGAAAGCAGCTCTGTGGGCCCTGGCAAGCACCGGTGCCACCTCAGTGCCCCCAACTCCGTACCTCGGGGCCCAGCATGGCAGCGGGGTCCGTGATGGTCAGCATGACCTCGTTCACCAGCTCCATGGGGATGTCTCCCATGACACGGATCCGCTTGGCATCTTCCAGTGTCAGGCTCTCAGGCAGCTTCCGCTTCTCCCCTGGGGACCGGAGCAGAGCAGCACATCCAGCGCCAGGAGGGACCAAGGAAGGTCCCAGCTCCCCCGGTGCCAGGCTCACGCCAGCCCTACCTGGCAGGGGCTCCGGGGTGCTGGCATCCATGCTCACTGCAGAGCTGCTGTTGCTGAGCTTCTTGCTGAAGAGCGGAGTGGTGGGCACGGCGACGGTGCTGACCGCGGCTGGAAGAGACCAACGATGCCCGTGACTGCCAGAAAGCAGCTCACCACACTGCGGCAGCCCAGCCACTGCCACCAGCCAAGGCTCACCCGCACCTCGGTCCTTTATCCTACAGCCCCCGAGCTGGGGGGGCTGCTCTCCGAGATACCTGGGCGAGACACCAGCTGGGCACCCTCTGCAGCTGGCACGGTGAAATCAGCCTCCCAGATGGGAGAGTTCTCGCCGTAGATCTCCTCCTCCAGCATGGACAGGAACCTGGCAGGGAGCAGCACGTCGGCCACACTCAGTGTGCGAGTGCCCTGAAGGAGGAGAGCCTCCCCAGCGGCACAGCAGCCATCCCCGCATCAGGCACCTACTTGGGGAAGTGGGTGAGGATCAGCGTCCGCTTTTCTGGCACCAGCTTGTCCTTCTCCACCCGGAACTTCTCCAGCAGCTGCCGGCGGGTGACTGTGAAGATGGACTTCAGGAGACTGCGCCCGAAGACGTGGGTGGTCTCGTAGCGGGGAAGGCTGTCGCAGCTTTGTGGCACATGGCAGTAGCACAGCCACCTAGGAGACAAGAACGCGCTCCAGTGACAGAGCTGGGACCAGCAACCCCAGAGCATCCGCACCCCTCCTGGGACTACACTGCTGGAAGCAGGGACCAGAAGAGCAGGCATCTGGGCAGGTCACAGCTGACGTTATTTGGAACAGTCTCCCCACTGGATGCCTGCCCTCCTAACGGACCAACAACCCTGGAGAGCTGGGGAGAGGTGAAGACCCTGGGAGTCAGGGCTCAGCCCCACGCAGGGGTGGGAGGAGCAGGCAGACCCCCAGGCTGGCTGGCTCAGACCCCCTCCCACCCTCACCTTGTGTAGTTGACCTTGTAGGTGGCCACATCGTCATTCTGGGAGCGCTGCCGAAACTGGGAGGGCGTCTCCAGCTTCCAGTAGTTGAGGCAGAGCAGGAACATCTTGGAGAGTTCGTACATGGTCTGCCGCTCCTTGGGTGGCAAGTGGCTGAACTTGTACTGGACGAAGTTGAGGACTCCCTGGGCGGAGGAAGGGGAGGTGGAGGGGTGCCGGGTGCTGCACCAGACCCTTCAGTGCTGCCCCCCAAGAGGGAGGGGACCATGCAAGAGCAGCAAAACACAGGACAAGTCATCAGTGCAATGTGTGAGCCTGACAACAGCCTCACCTGCTCAATGTTTGGTTTCTCAAAGGGGGGGCTCCCCAGGGACCCCTCGACCACAGGCTGGCTCATCTGCAGGATGCATTTCCGCAGGAGCTGTGAAGACACCGTCAGACACAGTTACTGAAGTCCCAAGAACCAGACACACCACGAGCGGTGGAAGTGGCAGAACGGTGCTGCAGGGCTGCACTGATTCATACAGCCGGGAAGGTGCCAGGGTCCACCTTGGAGCACACCCGTTTCTTCCCTGGAAACCTTCCTCCCAGGGGAATTCAAGGCCCAGAGAGCAGTCACTCCCAGGACAGAGTCAGCATTTCAGGTCTCTAGCTGGGCTGGTGGGGTGGCTCACAGCCACAGACAGAGCACAGCTCTCAGCAGAGCAGGCAGAGGACAAGCAGCAGGATAGCAGCCCCAGCTCCCCAGCAATGCTGGGGACCCCTGCACCAGCCCCACCGTGAGTGGGGCAGTGAGACGTGCCCAGCCCCAGACGCACCTTGAACAGGTAGAAATACACCTGCTTGGTGTCCGTGTCCTCCTCCTTGTGCACCGACATAAAGAGGTTTTCCACGTCCACCACCATGCCCAGCAGCCGGTTGATCTCCTCCTCTGAGACATTCTCCAGGTGGGACACGTGGTCCGCTGTGGTGGAGAGAAAGCCGCAGTGAGACCGGGGTGGGGGTCAGCACCGCTCCCCTTCCCCATGGGGGTCCCAGGCACCCTGTGGGGGGGTTACCCAGTGCATGGCTGCAGCTCCGGCAGGGCTCGCTCAGGTTGGTCACCGGCTGCTGCAGGTCCATGCGAGGGGCGGTGGGAGGGTTGGGGTTCTTCCAGCCATTGCACTTGCAGGCATCATTGGCCTGGGACGAGGGACAGGAGAAGCTGTCACGCAGCAGCCCAGGCACTGCCTCGTGCCAAGGCTGCCACCTTCTCCAGCCAAACAACTCCCCCTGCAAAGTCTCTTCCACCTGTCCCACCCATCCCTATTTATCCATCCCAGATTTCCTCAGCACCCACCCTGCATGACCCAGCACCCTAACACTCTCCCACATTTCCCCTGTGTGCAGCCCCAGGATCTGCACCCCCTGCCCACGGATGTCATTGCATCTCCCTTGCACAGCTCAGCACCCTCCTCCTGCACCCCGCAGCCATGTACGGCCGAGCACCTCCTTCCTGCACCCCCTGCACAGCCTAGCACCCCGCTTCTGTATTCCCTGCCCATGCATGTCCTTGCACCCCCTCCTGCACAGCTCAGCACCCTGCTCCTGCATCCCCTGTCCATGCATGTCCTTGCATCCTCCTTCTGCACCCCCTGCACCCCCCTTCTGCAACCTCCTGCCCATGCATGTCCTTGCACCAGTCTGCTGCACCCCCTACATGCTCCTCCTCCATCCCCTGCCCATAAATGTCCTTGCACCCCCGCCCCTGCATCCCCCACCCATGCGTGTCCTTGCACACTCCCCCTCCTGCACCCCCGTCCTGCATCCCCTGCCCATGCATGTCCTTGCATCCCCTCCTGCACCCCCTGCATGGCTCAGCACCCCTTCCTGCATCCCCCACCCACGCACGGCCTTGCAC